ATATCAGCTGCAGTGGGATTCAGTTATTGCTTCTACAAGTATCATCTGAAATATTTATTGGTACAAGAGAATTCCCAATGTATATGCTTCTCTTTCCAATGATAATATAAGGCCTTGCCCCAGGGAACTCTGAATAAAGCACAAGAGTGAGTAAGCACCATTTGCAGGCCAGTCTTTTTTTTTTTTTAATATTTTGAAAGCTTTGAATACAGAAAAGCTATTCTGAAGGAGCAGTTTTAATAACAAGTGCCACAGAGCATCTGTGTGCAGCGCGTATTTTTAGGAGTTATTGTAGAGAACTGGGAAGTGTTCAGGAGATACTACTATACATGGGTTTGGACCTTAGAATATAAGCAAGCATTTAAGTTGGCAGGGAGCAGAGGTGTGTTGATTTGGGGAGGTAACTTCTGGTCCTATGTTTACTTCCAGCTGCAGTTGACTTCCTGTGTGGGTCTGGGCAATTTTCTGATGTTCTTGCCTGATCTGACCCATTTGTGCAGTGGATCTACTATTACTTACCTATTGTTAAAAAGTACCTGGAGGTTTAATTAATTAGCATTTCTAATGAAATTTCTAATTTCTCAGAGCAGAAATACTCTAAGGCAAACCTCAACTCTGCCTCCGCATCCCACAATTATTCCTGGTCCAAAGTAAAATCTTAACCTGTCTCCCTGATGATGTCTCCTTTAGGATGTCTAGCTGTCATCTGAAGCTCCATGCAACTAAAGCAGAGCTTTTAATAGAATCATAGAATAGTTTAGGTTGGAAGGGACCTTTAAAGGTCCTCTAGTCCACCCTCTCCTGCAATAAGCAGGGACATCTTCGACTAGATCAGGTTGCTCAGAGCCCCATCCAGCCTCTACCCTCAAGCCTTCATCACTGCTTCCCTTCTTAATCTGTTTGGACAACACCAGCACCTTGCCCATCCTCGGGCCTGTATCTTGGCATCTTTTACCAGGTTATCCTTCCAGGTCTTCACACACAGTTATATCGAAATCCTGCAGATTTTTTCTGCTAAGATTTGGCCATTCTTATTTTTAATTGGATAAATTCTTCCCTCCTACCTACCTCTCTGCCTAGCTGCCTGCCTACCTGCCAGTTTTTCTTGGATGTTGCACCAATGTAAGTCATACCTCAGTCTATCCTCAGGGAGTTTTGAGTTGAATGGAGAATATATAAGTGCCATTTTCAGTGTCTATTTCACTTTCTGAAATACATTTCGGCCTTTCAAGGGAGAAATATTGGGAAGTCAGTAAGTCATAAAGCTGATGATAGGGAAAAGAGTTGCTACTGTGTCTTGTATTTAACAGAGCAGTAGTTTAAGCACAGAGCAAGCATATCATTCTATTCTATTTTTCTTTCTGCCTGTAGAGGTGGGACATATTCCACAAGATTTAACCATTGTGTTGTAGAGTACAGGTATGAAGAAGAAGGTTTCCTTCGTTTCCATCATAAGGGTAATCTTATTTGATGAAAATTGCTTCAGTATCAGAGTCATTTATTGGGATGCAGCCAATGGAAGACCTTTCTCATAATTTTTCCAAGCAATAATGAAATCCATCATTCATTAAAAGTACCTGAAAAATAAATGAAACATTTTAATTTATACAAAGCCCACTGTTTTGGTTTCACATTTTGGCCAGAAAAATTTGATCCCAAACCACATGGAAGCAATTTTTTTCTTGCTTGCAATTTAACTGCCACACTGAAAGACTGGATATTTGCACAATCTCCTTACAGTGTCTGTGACCTTTTCACCCACTGGAAACGACTGTGCCACTAGTGTGGTTGCTGAGCCTTTTCAAACTTAAGTCGGATTTGGCCCTTAGTACTCACCCTCAATGGCTCGACTCCAACCAGTGGCCTAGTAAAGGACACCTACAAAGCTCCTTTGATAGGCTGAGCCTGTTAGACACAAAACTCTTGGGAGGGCAGCAAGGTTCTTGCTTACCCTGCCTTCTCTTTCAAATACTTTGTTGAGGTAAATATTACTGAGAATTGATTAATTCAATGGGATAGCCCATTAATTTGTTTTCTCACACATTTGTTTTGGCAGATTTTTCCTGGCGTGCTCGTGAATTTTCTAATTGCTTTGTTGTTTTGACATTGGGCCTGTATGAATCTCAGCATTGGACCCAATAGCTTTGAATTCTCACGTCAGATCCAGTTTTGCTCTACTGTAACGTTTGGTTTCTCAAGCGCTGGCATTCCCAGTTCCCCAGCTGCGCTGTCACTGAGATGCTGGTTATCTGCAGAGCCACATTGGTGATAACAAGGAGGGGCTTTTTCATTTTGTATTAATGTCACATTTACACTGGTTGCAGGAACACGTGAGGTCCAAACCCATCATGTTACATTGACAAAGCAGGTTACCGTAACAGAAAATGTCAGGGATTTGTAAGCTCACTGTGCAGCCAGGAGACCATGAGGCTGATACGATGATTAGCCAAAACTACACCTTGGTTCTCTTGCAGAAGCGGAAGATAAGGACTCATGTGTTCTTGCTCTATGAAGGAACCCTTGGACAAAGAGGCACTACTGAAGACCTTGGTACTGAGGGCAACCCTTGCACATCTAATCTCCCAGGAAACATAAATATGAGGTTCTGAAGAGCAGGCAGAAAGTTCTGACCAAAATAAAATACAATGCAAGAAATATTGTCAGGGCAGGCATGTGACAGGGAAGGCATCTGAGCTGTGTCAACACCAGCTGCTTGAGATAGCCCGAGATGCTGTTCTGGGAACCATGGCCCCAGTGTGGCAGGAGGCAGCCAGGAGGTCTGCTGTCCTGGTGGGATGGTGTCCATGGTGGAGCCTGAGTTAAGGGGTAGCATTTTTGAGCTCTTTTGGAGAGGGTCTCACCAAGTGTACTCAATGGTAGGGCAAAGCTTATCTAAGGTAAAACAAAAAATAAAAAAAGCATCTGTAATATTATTTCTTATGAGACATCAAAATTTTAACACCTTTTTTCTTTTTTTCCTAAGATGTAATTTTTTAATTTGCTTTTAATTTTCTTTGTGTAAGTAGAATAGTAACAAACCCAGAGTTCTGCTTATCTGTAGCTGCTGGCAATGATTTGTATGGAACTCCTTTGCTTTAAATTACTTTTGTTTCAAATAGTGGGAGCTGGTAATTTGAGTGGGTGCTTCCCATCTCCAAGTCCTGTATCCAGTGTATCCCTGTGTGCACGCCTTCAAGGGCACCAGCCCTGGCTGTCTGTCAAGAACACTTCTTAAAATTACTCCAGTGAGTTAAACAGACAGTATGGGCAGATGCAGTGATGTTCTCCAGAAGGGGAAACCTTATCTTTGTAAGACTGCTGGTTTGGGAATCTGTGAAGAACTGCTTTTTTAACGTACCAGGCTATATTTATCTGGACCTTTTAATTTTTTTCATAGCTTTTATATTAATTAAAAAACAAAACAAAACAAAACCCACTCCACTGAGCCTAATGCAGTCGACCAGGACTGGGGACTCTGCAGTCCTGGCACGCAAGCCCCTGTGCATTACTCAGCAGTGTATGGAGCTGTCTGGAGGAGCTCAGCCTTGCGTGCCTGGCTTCTTCCCATAACTGGGTAGGAAAGATGCCCACATCACCTGCGTCTCCTCAGGCACCCGAGGCTCTTGAATCACTTATTTATTTGCTCAGTTTACAGCAAAACTTTGTGGAAAATGTGTCCCTTGGAACTGGTAGAAATCATCCCAAAAGGGCAATGTGTAAAGGATTAGTTTAAATTCCAGATTCCAATTGCCTGGTATTACCAAAAATAAAACTGTTGTGTTATTTCTCCTAACAGAATTAAAAATGAGATGCAGGAAAAATAAACACAAACATTAAGCTCTGAAATAGTTTTTTTCCCCACTTTCATTTTGGTAACACAAAACTAATTTGCTATCGTGTCTGCTGTGTATTCTGCTGCAGAACTAATCCTTTCTGTGCCCTAGATTTTTATTAACTTGCTTGTTTATTACTGAAAGTTTTACTTTCTAGGTCTTCTTTTAATTCTATTTTTTACTACACTGCCTTGTCTTGAATATGATTTTCCTGTAGTGTCCTTTAAATATCCTTGGCCTTTTCCAACCTAGGACATACTTATAGTAGTCTGATCTGGTTTTCCTAACCATTGGTGATCTTAGCAGCAGGATGCAATCCTTTGCCTTCTTCCTAATGTGATTCAGGATATATTCGAATGTAAAGAGTCCTTATGCTTGAACCATTATGCTGGGGTTTATTCTAGTAAACCAAACTCCAACAGATTTTCCTGAGGTTTTTTCTTTGTTAGCTTGCACAGCACTCATAAGATATCTGCTGCCAAAGTCCTTGCATTTTAGTAAAAACACCTTAGCATTGTTAATGTAAATATGCTTTAATTTTCCTTGGGCCAGCTCATCTGTTTTAATTCCTTAAGCATTCAAATTTATTTTGAGGGAGGTCAAGGAAAAGAGCTCTTGTCCTTTACAGACAATAAAATACCAGAAATAAATGTGGAGATGGGCACGAACGTCAGGCCATTAGTGGTGTCTGTATGGGTATGCCCACCATGCCTGGAATGGTGTAAGCACAGTAATCTGCTCTGCAAATTTGATTGGGTGAGCATATTATTAGGTTTAGAGGTAGTTAAATGCAGACATAAATACATGAAAGTGCTATAACGTAATTAATAAAACCATCTTGTACATCCAGCCCAGTCATAAATGGTACACAGATTGAACACAAAATGATAGAAAAATACAAATACCTTTATAGGCACATGGGAGTAAACAGAGTATTCTGTGCTGTCCTGTGCACTAGTGTGTGTGTGTGTACATTGTAGCCAGTGAATTGCTACTCCTAAGCTTGATTTAAAAACGGAATGAGTTCATTATAATCATTGACCCCCTCAAAAAAACAGAAGTTCTGAGGAACCAATCTAATCTGCTTTACTAAATGAACATGTGAAAGTGCTTATCTGGGATAAATCTGGGGACTATACATGTTTCTCTCTTTTTTTCCTTAAACAGAATGAAAATGCCCTTGTGAAAATAAAGGAGTTAGGAGTCGAGCTTGCAAAGATCAGGGATGAAGTTGGTAAGTAGCACAAGCAAAGTGATAACAAAAGAGATTTTCTCACTTTACACAAAAGCAGTTATTTCCTGTGATCTGATCCTGTGTACATGCACCTACAAGTGGCTTCGGAAGCCCAGTGGCAAGGGGTTTGGTGGCTTTGCAGAGAAGCGTGACTTTGCCTCTTTGTAGCTGAGATGAGTCCATCACCACACACACTGGAGCTAGTTGTGCGTCATCTTTAGTAGACAAATGGTTCTTGATAAATCCATAGCTTCCGTTCTCAAACTATGTACCACCACCGCCAAGGAGGAAGCACAGTGTGATGAGAAGCGGGAACTTGGGACTGTTGTGGTACACAGTGACTGGAAATGCATCACTTGTACATTTGCATGTTCTGTATTCAGCTACAAACTGAAGGATACCAAGCTCAGAACTTGTTTGTTAATAGCCCTGAGGTCTCTTCCTGGTTGAAAGACAGCAAATGCAACGTGCCCCCTTCAGTTTGTGTATTCCCTGTGTATCTGCATGCACCACTTTTTCAGTTTGGTTTCTGATCTAGACAGGAGAGACAATAAGGATGTAGAGACAATGAAACTCTTAAAAGAGAAGATGGGCTTTTGTGCTGCCTTCAGCCAACAGGATGAGTTCTTCCAGGCTTAAACCTCTCCAGAACAGGTGTGATATTAGGTTCATCTATCCGAAGGGAAATGGAGGGGAGGAAGGGCACCTGGGGGGAGGACAGTTGGGGCAGGGGACACCCTGGGTACCAAAAGGTGGTGCAACCCCTGATTACTAGGGCTGTGAATAGGGGACACCTCTCAGCTTTCCCTGTATGTGGGAGCCCAAGTGCTGGGTCACACATTAAGCACAGATTGTGATGGGTGATGGGAGGGTGATTTTGTTCACAGAGCAGGGCTCAAGCCAAGCCCCTGTGAGATGGGCATAACTGCATATCTTCCCTGTGCTGCTTCTTCACCTTGCCTATGACAACCCACTGCAGAAAAGCTGAGCCCAGCCCTTTTCTGATGCCCAACAGCTTGTGCTCCCTGCTGTGCCTCTCTGAAATTTTTCGGCTGATCGTCATTTTACAGAGAGCTTTATGGCTCCTGTGGCCAAAGGATGCTGCAGCTATAGCAAAACAGCATTTCCAGTTATTCCCTGATGCCTGCCTTCATCCATCCTCTGCATCTCCACAACTCTTATACAGGAGTTGTTGCTTCCAGTGCATTCTTCAGGCAGGGCACACCTGAAACTCTCCATTGAGTACCCACTTCTCATTTGAAAGCCCTACCTCTTTCTAGCGGGTTGGGTTTGCTCATTTTCACTAGTATTTTTGCAAGTGGTGGTGACGTGGGAAGGAAAGAGAGATACAGTGCTAGAGATAAAGAGCTCTGCTACCATTTATGCCATGTTTGGACAGCTGAAGTGAGTACAAATCGCTGGTGGTTTTGCTGGAGAACTTTGCCAGGGGTATGACTGACTGCCATTGGGGGGTCGCAGAGCATTACGTTCAGTAACAGGAGATGACAGCACGGCCTGCCCTTGGCATTGCTCTTGTGCATGCAGCGATAGATACCTCCTCTGCACAAAACTGACTCCTGATGGAGTACATGGACACAGTTTTGGTAGGAACCTCAGATAATCCAGAGAGGCAGTCTCAGGTCTCAGCTGAGCTGTGCTGCTTCAGAAGGGAGCTTAGCCATAGATGTGTATGTGCGATCTTTCTCATAGAGGGGAAAGATGTTGTGAGATAGTCCTTTCCTCAGTGGTCCTGTAGGCACACTTACTGGAGAGAAGCCATCACAGACCACCTCTTCCTGAGCAAGCCACCACTCTGGGAGACACCAAGATGCTGAGCAGAGACTATTTAGGAGTGACAGGGGAGGCTGGTGATCTGTCCTGCTTGTTGGAGGTAATCTTCTCTGTACAACCCTGTGATGCAACTTTCCCAGGTAGAAGGACTACCAGTAGGGATGGGCAAAAAGATGAAAATGTGCAGGTATTGAACCCCAGCAGGATGTGAAAAAATTCACCAGTAGGACAAATCCTGGTATGTATCTATACATATGGAAGATGTATGTGTATATTTTTTAGTATAAGTCAAAAATTGCTGGACAGTCTGTTACCCTTTGGAAGGTGTGAGGGTGGTGAGACACTTGAACAGGTTGCCCAGAGAAGCTGTGGATGCCCCCTCCCTGGAAGTGTCCAAGGCCAGGCTGGATGAGGCTTTGAGCAACCTGGTCTAGTGGAAGGTGTCCCTGCTCATGGCAGGGGGGGTGGAACTAGATGATCTTTAAGGTCCCTTCCAACCCAAACCATTCTGTGATTCTTTCTATCATTCAAAATTTTAAAATTAATTTTTGTGAAACAACCAGTATTTTAAATCTGTGGACAAGGAGAAATGGCAAATGCCATGTGTGTGAGAGCAGTTCTCATCAGTGCAGTTCTTTGCTTTCTCTGAAGCAATGTAAACTGGGGCACTGGGTGCTACTGGAGATATGTAGCCCATCTGGACTCTAGGAGCATTATTTTGGTCTCACTATCAGATGAATCTGTTTGTTGTGTGATATTGTATGTATTCTGCCAAGCTTTATGCAGATCAAGAATGAATCAGTTGTTTATTTGGCAACAGCCTTCATAGGTGATTCTATGAAGAAATTTAGGGAAAATCTGCAGTGTATTATTTTGACTACAACCAAGCTGTATTTCTGACTTATCTCAGTCACTTTGATGAGGAGTCTTTCATTAATTTAAAAATAACCAGTTCAGTTAAACAGCATAGGTGTTGTCAGAAATTCCTGATTTCTCATGTGTAAATTCACCATGTGAGACTCACTGATGCAAATGCCTGGATGAATCAGTAAAACAAGCCCTGGACTAGCCAGGGCTGACACAGGCAGTGTGTTCAACATTTAGTTGTTTAGGCAGTAGCTCTAAATCAGAATTATGATTTAAGGGCTGAATGTGCTTGGTTTTGAAAGCACAGAGTCTTTGTTAGCTTCAACAGAAACTGCAGGATTCTACTATTACAAAGCAATAAAACTGTGAAATATAATCCACTGTTCAGAAAAATCAGAAAATATTTTTAAGGAAATCTCTTTGGGTAAATAAAATCACTGCTGAAGCAATAGCAGTGATGGAGCATCCTTCTGGAGCCAGGCAAAATATTCAGGTTTGGATAGCACCATCCACTTTACACCCAGCACTGATGTGAAGTATCACACCTCATCTGAAACCAGCCTGCAGTGAAATAGGAAAGTACTTTTCCCTTCCCAGCCCTGAGGAGGAATGCGGCCTCTGTAAACGCTGAGGGACTTGTTATTTTACACAGTAAGATCTGCTCATGTATTTTGCTAGAAATACCAAGACTAGAAAAACATGACAAGCAATCGTTCTACACTCAAGACACCCATCTTTATAAATTATAAATATAAGCACTTTTCAGCTGCAACACTGAGACTCCTGGAATAAATAGATTTTGAACATTGTCAATTTGAACATTGTTTCCCTTCAAACTAGTGGAAATGAAATGTCAGAATTACCTGCTTCTTTGCTGTCAGACAAGTGACATGTGAAGTGAGTTGAGAGGAGGTATGAAGACGCATAAAATCCCAGATTAATGAAAGACAGTCAGGTGTCAAGTTTAAAATTCGTATTATCTGTGCTCATGAGAGTTTGAAAACCAAAGCCTGTGTGCCACCTCCTCCTGGATATGCCCCCCAGTCAGAGGGGACTTAACCTGAGTGAGGTGGCTGTTATTTGTCTGTGAGTCTGTGGCCAAGGGTCAGGAGGAAGAGCAGAGTCTGCATGGTTTGCCATCACTTTTGGACGAAGAGCCCATTTTTTATGTCAGAAGTAGATGGTTCCTATGTGAGGTCGCATGACATCAGCCCCCTGGTTCCCATGGGAGTTACCCCCCTGAATGCAAAGTGCCGGGGCTGGGGAGGCTGGGCTGCAGCTCAGGCTGGGTTTGTGCGGGAGGATCAGCCCATTAGTGACATCTCCCTTTCCCTCACCTTCCTCTCCTGGCTTGAAATGGGTTTGTCTCATCTGTTGCACACTGTAAAAGCCACTCAGTGCTGGGGGTCGGGAAGCAATGGCAGCCGCTCTCATTTAACCCAGCACGCTGCCATCCCAGGAAATGCCAGAGTGTTATGTCAGAGTCATTTCCAGCCTGTAAGCAGTAATTGAAATACCTACAGAGAAGGAAAAAGAAAACCAGAGTGCAACTCTTCTCAATAGCAGCTGATAGCAGTTGTGCTCTGTTTGTCTTGTGCCATTTTTTCCATGCCAGTATTGCATTTATGTAACTTCTCCTAGTGATATTTTTTTTTTTTAACCACAAAAGGAGCTCATTTTAATGTATTCATATCCCAGTGTCTGAAAGCAAAATACACTGTTTTCCAGCAACATTAGCGGGTCTTCTGTTCAGGCATCTGTTGTCAGGGCCCAGCTGGAGGCAATTCAGCCTGGTTCACCAGAACCACCTGCTGAAGCCACAGCTGGTTCAGCACTGGCTCCAGCAAGGCAGGCTCTCCCAGGCTGGTTCCTGCTCTCCAGGTGGGTAAGGGAACCACAGACCTTCTACTGGGCTGCAGGGGTGTCACCTTCTGCTGCTCCTGTCCCAGTAGAGCCAGGCCCAAAGGTCTGTCTGCTGACTAAGAAGAGATTCAGTCTTTCCTCACCAGTGCTTGGCCTCATTTGTCTCAATCTGGGAGACTGGGGTAGGGATCACTCCGTCTCATTAGAGGTGTTTGATATTCAGTACAGGGCAAAGTTCCTGGGCATAGGCCTAATTTTCTGCCTCCAAGAGCATTTTTGGGCATGTGAGGAACGTGCCATGCAGACACGCTTTCCCTGCTTTCCTCTCCCCTTCATTTTGCACCTGCATCAGGGTTTCATTTACAAGAAGTGAACAGTTTTGTGTTTCAGTTTACAGGAAGTGTTTCAGATGGACTTTCTTTTGGTTAGAGTATGTCATTTCATTGCCCAGCCCTCCCTGTGTGCTGGATAATCTCATTAGAGGGACTGGAGAGAGATAGGGTTTGTTACAGCTCCAATTTAAAGCTTGAGTAAGTTTGAATTCTACTGAATGCAGAGCTGCAAGCTCTGGAATCCCTTTGCACATTGAAGAAAATCAAAAATAAAAAAGCAAGAGTGAGGGTTTAGAGTTATAATCCAAACTGCCAGGAGACAAGCCATTTCAGCTAATGACCATATAAATTCCATTTTGGGTATGAGGCAGGTGGGAAAGCTTTCTGTGTGCCGCTGTGGCAGTGCTAAACTCACTGATTCAGGCTCACTTTCTTTCTGTGAGGAGTAGAGAGTTTGAAAGGGACACAGAGTCCTTATTAGTGCTCCAGAAAACATCAGGATCAGAGCAGGACCCCAGTAGTGATATCTGAGCAAGTCTGGATGTGGTCCAGTAGTGTGGAAGCAGAGCTCTAAACAGGGAGAAAAATAGCTATGTGTGGAAGGAGATGGCAAGCTTGGGTGCACAAACTGCCTCACATGAGCTGTGGTCACAGCCATAGGTAACTTTGACAAATTGCTGCTATCATGAAAAAAAATGAGCACAGTCTGATACCACAGTAGAAAGAGACAGGAAAACACTGGATTTTTTTGCCAGATATTGAGCAAATATATGGTCATAGGATAGATATGGTTTTGAAACATTTAAAAGTTGTCTACCCAGGGAGACAGCTGCTTCCAGGTCACTGATTTACAATGCCATACAGGTCTGTGCATGGCACATGCATTTTGAAAGGCAAAGTGTAGGGGAAAGCAGTGTAGGGAGCAGTGTAGGGGAAAGGGGTCTGGGAGTCCTGGTGGACAGCAGGATGACCATGAGCCAGCACTGTGCCCTCGTGGCCAGGAAGGCCAATGGCATCCTGGGGTGCATTAGAAGGGGTGTGGTTAGTAGGTCGAGAGAGGTTCTCCTCCCCCTCTACTCTGCCCTGGTGAGGCCACATCTGGAATATTGTGTCCAGTTCTGGGCCCCACAGTTCAAGGACAGGGAACTGCTTGAGAGAGTCCAGCACAGAGCCACCAAGATGATTAAGGGAGTTGAGCATCTATCTCCCTTATGAGGAAAGGTTGAGGTAGCTGGGTCTCTTTAGCTTGGAGAAGAGGAGACTGAGGGGAGACCTCATTAATGTTTATAAATATGTAAAGGATGAATGTCAGGAGGATGGAGCCAGGCTCTTCTCAGTGATGCCCAATGATAGGACAAGGGGCAATGGGTGTAAGCTGGGACACAGGAGGTTCCACTTAAACTTGAGAAGAAACTTCTTTACGGTGAGGGTGACAGAGCACTGGAACAGGCTGCCCAGGGAGGTTGTGGAGTCTCCTTCTCTGGAGACATTCAAAACCCGCCTGGACGCTTTTCTATGTGATCTCATTGGGGTTCCTGCTCTGGCAGGGGGATTGGACTAGATGATCTTTCGAGGTCCCTTCCAATCCCTAACATTCTATGATTCTGTGATGGGTGGCTAATGCAGATGGTATATACAAAAGGTGATCATTTTTCTAAACCAGCTATGGGTATAAATCAGAAAGAAGGTCTAACAGTGCCATTACAAACACATCTCTTCTTCTCTAGCATTATTCTGAATGTTGTGGTCATGATGATTTTGATCACTTCTTACCTATTAGACCTTTGCAAGTGAGCAAACTTGCTCTCTACGTGTAGTCTGTCTGACCTTGTCCAACTTGCATCAGATCTTCAATATCTGGATTGATTGAAACCATTCTGTAGCAAAGCAAAAGGCTGAGGACACAGTGTTCGTGACACTGCTGTCCTGGGACCTGGGGAACAATACAGGTGAGGAACCAAATGGGGAAATAGACTAAATATCTTTGACTTGATGGAACTGTTGGACTTGCACCTCCTGAAACTAGTTGTAGACATGGCTGTGAATTTGGAGATATGGTGGTCACCAGGTTAGTTGACAGGAGTAAAAATTTCACATTTTCTGATTGCCTTCAGTACCAGCCTTTCATTTGCACTCTCTGATTCCATAAAGCACATAAGATTGTGGTTTAAGTATAAAAATATTTTAAGCAAGTGTGCATGAATGGATTCAAGAGGTCCTTGGTGGAGCTGGTGTGAAAGGCAGTTTTATGGGGTGAGCAGCTTCCAATAGCTGGAAGATGGGATGTATGAGATATATCTCCTTCTCCTGGTCAAGTGGTCAATCGCATCTGCATAAACATGTGCACAAGATACGCCTTGAGACCAAGCATCTTCTGCCTTCCTAGCACATCACTAGAAGAGGAGACTTAGCCAAGACTGTGGCTTGAGATAAAGGAGATAAGGAAAGTCCTGTATCTCAGTTGAAAGGCTTTCTGTCAAGTGATTGTCTCATGTGCTGTTTCTCATATCCAAGGCAAAGTAAAAGCCCCAAAGCCTCGAACTGTGGATCTGAGACTGTGCTGGCCAGAAGGGAACGTCCAGTCACTCTGCAGGTCCATAGAGTTCCCTACTTTTATGTTATTATTATTGATATTATTATTGCTATTGTTATCATTATTGCTATTGTTATTATTGTTATTATTTTTAAACTTAATCAGATCCTAGTTTTGTATGGGCTTTTGCATACTCTGTCAGTACCTCTATTGAAACAAATGCAAGTGTGTCTGTGTGTGTGAGAGAGGGACAGAGAGAGAAGCAACAAGGAGAGCTTGTTGATGGCTGAGATTCATGGGATCCCCAGAGTCAGCTCAGTGCTGTACAAACAGACCTGATGCCACTGGAGACTCCAAGAAGTTCAGAGCCTGACTGTTTGATCTTGTCACTGCAGCCCTCAACACAGCAAGATGGAAGAAACTACAGAGTGAGAAGGAGGAGCTGGAGAGGTGCTTTGAGGAGGAGGTGAAGCAGCTTAACAAGCAGCAGCAGGAGGAGCTGCAGACACTGGAGCAGCAGCTGCAGGAGGAGTACAACACCAAGAGGGAGAGCTTGCAGGAGCAGCACAAGCTGCAGCTTGAGCAAGTCAAATTGCAGCATCAGGACCAGGTCAGTGTCCACCTGTTCCCTTTGAACTGACCACGCCCGTACTGAGTGGGTTCAGGTATGAAATATATTGAGCACTCCAACATGAAAACACTGGTAACAAACTGATGGCTGGAAAAATATATTCCTGACTATCTTTACTGCTTTTCCTCCCTATTATTCCTATTGGTATTTCTACATAATAGCTCGTGTCTTCGCATGCTTCCAGCTGTTTTACAAGACAGATATTAAGACTAGCTCTGCTCCCCACACATGCTTGCTCCCAACCCACCTATTGTAGTCAATTTATATGAAACCAAGGGCTGAACAAGAATCCGCTCAACACAGGTAAGGCCAGCAGAGCCATGCCCGTTGTTATTTGCAATGCTAGTTAAGAGCAGTGCAGTGAAGTGATAGAGCCCATGCAACAGCAGCCTAAACGTCAAGCAGGTGATGCATTCCGGATTCCCCAATTTCTGCTCCACTGTTCAGTCTAACCTCTTATACATCCCAAGTGTTTCTCTTTGCTTTGCTTTCTGTATGTAGGTAGGAATACTCTCACATGCAGCTACTTTAGTCTTATTTTTAACAACTGGAGTGAATAAACACTGTAATTCACCTATGGGCACCTCTCACATGGTAACAGAACATCCTGCTTTGGATTATGGCACTAATGGCCTTTTCTCATTTTGCACTCAGTGAGCAGTGGATACAGTTCTGATTTTTCCAGCTGCAACTCTTACCCATTGCCCAGTACCACAGTTCATGAGGGCTTTTCTCACAGGAGTATCTGCTGCACTCAGGTGTACTCTGCAATCTGTGCCATCAGGCTTTGACCTGCTGCAGCCCCCACTGCCATGGGTGTGCCACCCAGGCATCCGATGCAGTGCAGGGGCCGGTCATCTGTGAAACTTAAGCCCAACCAACAGACCCCCTGTTTGCCAGCATTGTTCTCTCAAACCTGGGGATTTTGCCAATGCCCAGGGTAGCTGGAAGTAGTGGAGGGCGAATTTTTCACTCTCTGAGGCAATGTGAATTGTCAGCAACAGCACAGCGCGGGTGTGGTTTGTGAGATGGATGGATGTGACCAAAGGTTGAGGAGGTTTTATGTCTGCATGCTCTGTATCTCAGGGTATCTCCAGTGTGCATTTTGGGGATGCTGCCTGAGATGGGAACCGGTGGCCAGGGCTCCAGAGCTGCTGATCCTCCTTGCTCATGCCCAGGGAGTGGGCTGACAGCAGGCACTGCAGTGGGGTGCAGAGCACAGACATGCTCCATGTGGTTCCCAAGGACAATGACAACACTTGCTGTGGGCTCAGAAGCAGACCAGCCCCATCAGCAGAGCCTGTGCTTGAGCTAATTTACACCATTGAAGAGGTAAAGGCTGGTGCAGCACTGTGTGGCCGTAGCTGAAGCACCTCCAGGAGCCAAGGGAAGGGGCTGGCCTGCCCTGAGCTCACGGGAGCAGAGAGCACCCACACAGCCCAGCAGAGATGGCAGCCCACTGGTTTTTAAGGTCAACTCTGTAAAAAGGGAAATGACACCATTTACTCCCTGTGCTTGACGTGCTGTACAACAGTCCTAGGATGAGAGTGCAAATACAAACGAAGGTGACAGTTTTGTCACTCGTGTCACTGCTGCCCAGTGTTAGATTTATTGTGTAACACCAACGATACGCTGGAGCTGGGCGTGTGGGGTCGTGGCACCCACTGGCACGTGGGTCAGACAGCCGTGTCGGACGGACACACGATGACCCAGCCCGTGCCCCAGAGTGCCTGCTGCCCTGGGCACCACCATGCCGTGTGGTTTGTGTCTTCAGTAGGGGGGTGTGAAGCACTCTCACTGGATTTTACCTATTTAAATCATTGCTGTTACTGATTTGCAGGCTTGTAAGGTGCAATACAAAGGCTTTATGCAACTGGGCTGTTTTGTCCCAAACAAACTTCCCTTTTCTGTTAGTTCATTGATTTTCAAAGACACATTAGAAGATGCTATCAAATAGCTTGTTGTGTTCTAAACCAGATATTTCAAAGATTTTTCAAAATCTTTCTCTGTAAATGCTTAGAAGCTGTGCTGAGCCATGGCTTTTGGTTCTGATTTCAGTTCTTGCAATGCCTCTCAAATTTTCTGCTTTGCTTTCTGATATGAAGGGGGTGGGGGGTAGTATTCCCAAAAGCCTTTGCTTTTTTTTTTTCTTTCCACTATGTCAGTGTGTCAGTTTGCCTAGTAGAAGATATTAGCTGTGACTGCAAGCCTTGCTTCTCCTGGATCACCAGGCATTAGCATTTGTGAAGGAATTTGTTACGCGGGTTAATGTTTTGCTGTTTTGCTAATGTTTTATGGCTTATCTCTGCTACTCTTTGACATGTTTCTGCAGACTGCCAGGACCACAAGAACAGATGGTGGTTTTTCCCCCCTCTAGTGGATCAGTGTGCAAAAGGGTGATATAGGTCACTGTAGGACTTGACTAGAAGTATACTTATTTTTCTCATATTCTCATCTATTGTGATTCTATTAATCACCACACGGAAGCAATGGAAACACATCTTTCCCTCTGTGGGGTAAATAGTTCTCTCTCTTCTAGCCATTTGGTTTGCTCCAGAGCTCTTTGTTGCCTGAATTACTGAAGGTAACACAAACATTTCTCTTCCCTGCTTTGAAAGTGCTGCTGTGACCCTAGTACCTCAAGTTTAAGCTTATCTTTTCAATCTGTGGTTCTGTTAGCATCTCATGATGAGTTTTTGCAGGTTTTCCCTTTGAATTCTTACGCCATTGTACACCCATCCTGTGTTGAGTGCTCTTGGATTGGAGGAGGCTGACAGGACAGGTTGGAAAGCTGCTCACCAGCAATGGTTCTTGGCCAGGAAAAAGGAGAGCTTTGTTAGTCTAGGAACTGAGGTGCATCAGGAATAAAGATCATTAACAGCTGCTGACCCAAAGGGTCTGTAGTCCTCTGGTTCTTCCTTCCCCTGCTCAGAGGAAGAGGAGAAGTGCCTGGCTCAGAGCATGCCAAAACAAGCAAGCCTGCTAGAGGGACTGGAGTTGTTCAGCTCTGATGCTGCTGAGCTGGTGCTGGTCCTAGACAATGTTAGAGCAGAGGCACCTAACCCATGAGCTACAGAGCTCTTATGCTGGGCATGAGAAAACCCTTGTCCTTGAGCTGTCCATCTGCGTGGAGGAATTTTGAGCTTACATTCATGAAGGTAGTAACAATAGCAAAATCCTTTTAACTGTGGATCTACAGGTATTTCTGTCTCCACACATCTAATCTGCAAGTTAGTCATCCCATTTTATGGTTTCCAGTCACAACTTAGTCTTCACACTGTATTGCTGTAGTCACCTTTTACTTTTGCACAAGATAGCTGTTGTTTCTTTGGACGCACAGTTGTCAGAATTTGGAGGCTCGGCTGTCTCTGAGGAGGTGAGTCAGCTCTTTCAGCAGAGCATGACAGCCAAACTCCTCACAAACTGGTCAGGTGTGCCAATGCATCCCAATATTTCTCTGTTCTCCTTGCAGCTAAGGGCAAAATTGCAAAGTAAAGGCTACGATCCTGGCTTGCCAGTGTTTTGCACTTGAGCCTGCTCAGCTCAAGCTGTTTTGTCCACCAACTCACTGAACTTCTCCCACTAGAGGATCCTGTTAATTTTACTTTATTAAGCCTTAAAAATCCCACCTGAGCTTCTTTTTATAGCCAGAAATACCCATGGCATGTGTTAAGTGAGTTGATCAAGCCTACAGACTTAAGTTAGTGGTGAAGGTGGAATTAGTATCCAAGAGATCTGATTCCCAGTGCCAAGCAGAATATCTGCAGATGGGATTAAAAAGAGTCATTTGGAAAGTGGATATGAAACATATAGAAGACAGAAAAATCCCTGGAGACCATTTGGAACATATTTAATTGGCTTTATAGATAAATAACGTGTGAAGGATGGTGGCAGTGAGAGGAGACCCCTTCACCTTCTGAAGGCGTTTGAGTTGGGCTTAATTGTTCCTATGGGGTGCTGCTCAGCTGAGAAGCAATTAGAGTATGAATAAAGGCTTAAGCAAAGGCAAGGTAAAGAACATGGCAATGCTCACGAGGTTTCAGTGCACAGACATCATACACAAGGACTTTGTGCTCTGGGAAAATTCAAATGATAGTCCCTATCCCATAGTAGCCCATTGAGTCATCTAGCTCCCCCCTTTCCCTGCTTTTTCATGCAATATATCAGCAAGCTGAGTCCCCATTGTTTTGCAAACAGTTCTTCACCACTGAGTTGTCTCCCACGTTATTATGAAAATGAGATTGGATAATTTTAAATTACATGTTAAATGCCCATCTTTCATCCTAAGAGCATGCCTTCTCCAATACTGTTGGAAATTTTGCTCTGTTGGGTAATCTGACATATATGATTGACAATTAACTGCAGTGAAATAACATTCATTGCAGTCAAGATGTGCTCATCTGCAGTATATTTTTACTTTAACATAACAATAAGCAAAAAAGTGGTGTAAAGTCAAGTCACTTTGCAACGAACAACAGTTTCGTTGTTGTGAAGGTAGAATAGTTTGATCCACTGCATTGCTAGATATCGCAGATAATGTGTTAAATGTAGGGAACAAGAGCACTGTGATTATAAAACCCATAAAAGCAAATCGATGCATTGCATTCAGAAACTGCTCTGGACCACCGACTTCACCTTGATCACCACTTCTCACTGGATTTTCTTTAACGATGCATATCAAAACATCATCATTAGAGATCTCACTTTACCAGTTCTAGTCACAAACAATGTCCTGGAGGAGTCCCAAACCCATCAGGTGCACAGGAACACCAGCTGCCCACAGCCCTTTTCCAGCTGCATCCCCTGCTCCCGCGATGGCTGGGTGCCGTGTGGTGTGCGCTGCAGTTTGCTGGGCAGTCTGCAGCAGCAGGATCTCCTTCTGGCCTCAATATGAGATCAGGAAAAAGCTTTGTGCCTTCACTGTCATCTTAGTTGCTTCCACACCAGCCCAAAAACTCTTGTGTCTGCACTGAAAAAGTTACTGCCATATTGTTCATCAGTTGATTGGACGTGGACTCAAAATACATGATTCAAGAGGACATAGGAATTTTGGTACTGACGACTTTGTAGGATGCTCTTTTTCAAGTAAAAGTGTGATAAATTGCAATTCATTTTCCATACCCACTGATAATAATTTCAATGTTTCTCTAGAAATAAATATTTTACAACTATGAATAATTCATAGGCACTTTTCATGGAAGTTAATTCAAGACCTTACAGTAAAAATCATTGCAGCAAAGTGCCATGAAGACAAAAACTGGGATGGTTCAGAACTGTGCATGCTTGTCTGACCATCAGAGGGAGTCAGGTCATGAATACCATTTAAGATTAACAGAATGTTGAGATTTCTGAACATTTCATAAATAGCTGCTTTGCTTAAGGGCTTTTTGGCCTTTTGGTTTCTTGTGTACCTCTTTTATCACCATTAAGTTAAAAGAACAAAAATACTATCAGCAGTGACTACACACTACCACTCAAGGTGTTGATGTGCCTGTTTCCTAATGAATAAAACTGGCTCAGGTGCTGGAAGTGTCACACTCAGTAGATCCCCTTACTGTTTCCAGCTCACTGGACCTCTCTAGCAGTGGCTTGTCAGTGTGCCAAAGCATGTCTAATCATCTGTGTCTCCATCCGTTGTCATTGGAACAGGTGGAAGATATCACAGCTGTACACGAAGCTGCAATGTTACAGTTGGAAAATAACCACATAGTCGCCATGACAGTACTGCAGGATGAGAATGACTGCAAGATTCAAGGTAAGCCAAAGACAACCCAATGGCTACAGAGCTATTCCACAGCTGGAATTAGTACTGTAGTGAAATTGCATACGCCTAGATTTTCTTCCTCCAGAACAGATGATACAGAAAATTCATGTTGGTCTAGTGCTTTCACATGGGGTGGACCACCAGGTGCATGCTATGGACGAGGGAGAGCTGTGTGCAGTGTGTACAGCATCTGTCTTGGACCTGAGTCTATCTGAGAGGTCTTTGGGCCTTTTTCCAAGGAGTCACTGACCACAGAGTCCAAATACCACCTCACTTCACACACAGACTTTTCTCAAGAGTCTAATCCTCGGGTGCTCAAGAAGCTACAGCTCATTGAGCATCTCGGAATTTAGGTGCTTAAATGCATACACTATTTCTGAAAATAGGACTCATCATTTTCAGTAGCAAAAATCTGGCCATGCTGAGCAGACCAAAGCCACACCCTGGTGCAAATCTGCACCTCAGTAGTGTTGTCTTTAGTTTGTTATGTTTTTCCTATGGGATTTGATGCTGCAGACAGGGATGTTTCCTCCCTACCAGTTCAGTATCTAAACATGTATTTTTACATGCTTTAGCTGACATTTAAGAGTTACCTGTATAATGTCCCTGTTTTGTTTTGGGTTTGGTTTTTTTGTTTGTTTTTTTACACAAGAGCATGAGGGTCTAATTTTTAAATAGCTCTAGCAGGTTTTCCCACAAATTTTCCCCAAACCGAGTCATATTGCTTAGCTCTGGACTGTGTCTCTGACATAGTGTGAGCTGAGAACAGTCTGTTCCCCTCTCCTGTAGGCAGAGATGGTATCTAGCATGTCATTTTAAAATCAGCATATAAAATTTTCCTTGCTTGAGGATATTCTTATTTGTCCATTTTTGTTAGTATTTTCTGATGATAAAACTTGGCTGTGGTTTATCATGGCTCCGGAGGCCAAAGTTTGTGCTCCCTGCTCCTGCTGTGGGTATGAAATGCCCTCCTGTGCATGGAAAAGGCATTGCAGCAGCTGCCATCTAGTACGTTGTACAGGGCACTGGAGTGTTAGTATTATTACTGCTGTTATTGTGGCTAGTGAGCAACGGTTAGATGGCAGAAACCCATGGTTTTGGGGGTGAAGACACAAAAAATAGACTGGATACTAAAAAGGTAGGTGCTACTACTGTAATGAATAACAGTTTGATGCCATTTGTTTAGAGATTAAACTTTATCCCACTTTGGTTATTAAACTTTTGATTATTAAGTCCAGAGTGAGTTGTTCTAGTAGTGCAACTTTTAATCCTGTAGTATAAATAGAGGACTTTTTTGTCTTTGGGCTTTGTCAGTCTCACTAATGGCATAAACCTCACAGGTCGTCTGCCACAGCTTCTGGAGAAGCCATTATTTGCATTTTTGCATCTGAGTTGCTGGTCCCCCTCTCTGTCTCCCCAAAGAAATTGCAACCTGAGCTTTTAAATAATCTTAATTTAAAAATCTTTGATTTGGGGATACTCACTCTGAACTAGTAAATGAGCCATTGTCAGACTGACGCTTTTCAGAACAGAGCCCCTGGGAACCAGGCATTCTGAGCAGTTCTGAAAAATCAGAATCTGGTCACATAGAAATAGAAGTACCTGCTGCCAGGGAAAGATCATGAAATCCTGATCCTCAAAACAATTTACCTAAGGTCACAGAATCTATTACTACTGGTTTCCTACTCAACCTCCATGCCCTAAAACTGCATCCTGACTTGTGTTTGGCTCACCTATCTGTGCTCTGGGACCCTGGTTTGCTGGACTTCACTTAGCAATGTCATGTCTGTGTATCTTCCTCAGAACTGAATACTGCTCACAAACTGGAAAAGTCACAATTAGAAGAGACTTTTGAAACACTGCGTCTGTCACTCCAGGTTAGCAGTTTCGTTATTTCCCACCCCTGTAAGGATGTTGCGGAGCAGCTGACGGGGCAGCCCCAGCCCAGTTGCCAGCTGCCAGCACATCTGGCCGTTGCCTCTTACCAGCTGTAGTACCTCTTGTCCTCTGCCTGTCCAAACTGGGATCAAGCAGCAAAGGTGCCCCCTCAGGTTTTTTCCACCCCCTTGTCTGGTTCACCAAACTACCACCTGAACAAGAGGAGAGGGCAAACCTAAAGGGAGGAAAAGGAAGCTGGATAAAGCAAAGAAGCATCCTTTTGACCCTGCTGACTGCTAGCCCAGCACAAGGAGCAAAGTTGAGCTCTTCTCTGCATGGTGGGGAGAGCTCCAGCACCTGCGATGGCTGTGAGCGTCTCCTTATCTCCATGGTACCCTCCAGCAGGCATCCCTGGGGCTCAGAAACGCTGACCTGTCCCTGCCCAGCCCTGTGCCTGTGCTTTAAACTCTTTCCAAAACCAATGCCTGAATGTGGGGGAGCTGGTCCTGTGGTGTAGACACATCTCCATTTTCACAGAGGGCAATGTGGTCCCTGATGAGGGATGCCCCAGAGCTGGCCCTGCTGTGCAGCCAGGCTATATGGCCAGCCAGGGTCAGCCCTCCACATCACATCTCCCACATCCCACTATTTCATACCAAGCTCAAGATTGTCTTGGGTTTTTCGGTCCTTCTAATAACTCCACGCTGTTCTCACTCTCCAGATGAAGAAATCCTGAGGAAGGGAGGGCAAAAGCGTGCCCCTGTGATTTGCACTAAGTTTGAAAATCTTGTGTGAAGAGGTAAAGATGCCCCAGCAAATAATGCAAGCTCTGTTTAATTTTGTAGGCAGAGATTAATTGCAATTTTTAAAACCCCTGACTAGTACATAACCATTGCACACAGCAACTGTCACTGCCTTCCTCATGTGGCTGTGACAGTTCAAGGCATGTCAGCAGTTTTGCAATAAGCACTGATGTAATGTTACAGCCAAGAAATTACATATATGAAAGATAAGAATACCAGTTTCACAGCAACTGGGGCTTTTACAGATGTTGTATATAGAGAGGTAG